GATTCAAGTTATAAAGCTGTGGTGTGCCGTAAGCTTGTATTATAGAGACTGGCGCATGCAGATCAATCTCCAGCAAGCTTACAGAACACCACAGCTTTATAACTTTAATCCCATATTCCTTTTTTCATTGAATTGTGAGTGCTCCTCGGATGATTAGCGAAACGTCTTCAGTTATAAAAAAAGTCCTGTGGTTTTGTTTTTATCTTTTTTGGGGGGGATTTGCTGTGTCAAGGATAACTGAGAATCTTCACGAGCATTGTTACAGGTAAAAAACAATTACTTCACTTATCCTACACTATTGACGTAAAAAACACTGTAAGCACTTCACTTTTGATGATCAGATGGAAGCTCAAGACTTGATAATGTTTCTTTTATTAGAAATAAAGACCTGTACAAAAAAAAAAAAAATTATACACTAATTATATATGAAAACTTAACAAGCTACATGTTTGGCTATTTGTGGGCTTACCTTGCAGGATCTACATTTCTATATATCAACTATGATCTACTCTAAATATTTTTAAACATGTCTATTTGCCATGGAACGGGCAATGGATTCCAGCACCCCAAGGAGTGCCTGATTGAAAGCAGCACTCTGTTCAGCCTCCTGCCTTTGCTGTGCTGCTTCCTCTCTGCGAAGATCTGCTTCCTCTCTCCTCAAGGCCATCTCCTCCCTCCTAATTGATTTCTCCTGCTTCCTCGCTGCTGCAGCTTGGCGTTGCCTCTGCGCAGCTTCTTCTTGCCTTTTTGGCATCCTCACAAATAAAATGGAAGTGTTCCTCTCTCTGCTTCCGGTTCATCTCCTCTGGTTCTGTATGCGCAGAAACAAAGCTCTCTGCTGCACTTGTTGATCTGCGCTTTCTATTGCCTAGGAATAACACACAAGAAAATGGCTGTTAGATGATGAAGTACAGGTAGAGTTTTTAAATAAATTTACATTAAAGTTCCTGCTAATTTCAAAAGGTGTTTGTTCATAAGATCAGAAATGATTCTGTTCATAAAGCAGTCTAGTACTTGAATGATAGTAAGCAGGTGGGCATAAATAAACTACATGTAGTCATTTACAGCGGTTGTGCTACTTTAGAAGAACAGAGCATCGTTAATCTGAACAAAAATCACTACACCCTGTATAATTTCAATAATAAACTTCATAAATGAAAGTTTAAGTAATAAATGAATAATTAAATTTAACATTTATACATTACAACTGAATAAACAAGTAGTTTGAATACATGCAAGGTGTTTTACAACAAAACAACATTCATATCAACATGATCAATGTGATGTTAAACACGATTATTGCTTCTTCTTACCTAGTAACGGGTGCTGTTTGGTGCCGCTCTGCTGCGTGTTGCCCGGTGGTGTGGATGTGCCCGGTGGCATAGATGTACTTGGAGCTGGTGTGGTCGGGGAAGGGTCAGAAGCGGGGAGGATTGGACAGTCAAAAGCAGAATCTGGCGAACCTTCATCTTCAGTGGGACTTTCTGCATCATAATAAGAGTGGAAAAAACAGCAACAGAGTACAGTTAGCAATGATGCTAACTAATGACGACTTAATCGTGTCAGCCTCGTTTGTTCAGAGTACTTTCAGAAAATGCAAAGAAACAGTTACATGAGGAAAAGGAAATATGCTTAAAGTAAATAAAATACACTCACCATCAACTATAGCTTCCAGAAAAGCAGTGGCCGTGTCTAGGCCACTCTCCCTCCCTTTGTTGGCTGGGCGTTTTCCGTAAATGGCATCCATTTGTACAAACCACTTCCAGTTTCTTCTGTTTGCTCCACTCCTACCATTGTGGTCCTTAATCGTTTTGTAATCGCTTTTTAGTTTTTTAAGCTTTCCTCTAATTTGCTTTGGTGTGCGATGGAAGCCCTGCACCGCCATCTGCGCAGACACCTCTTGAAAAATCTTTTCATTTCGTTTCGTTCCATCTAGCTCGTTCTGCACTTGTTCATCGGCCAGCAAACAGAGAAATGCCTGAACTTCAGCATTCGACCACGGTTGTGCCATGATTATTTGTCCATCCATCCATCCATTATCTTTACCCGTTTATTCCATTTTGGGTCACGGGGGTCGCTGGTGCCCATGTCCAGCAATCACTGTGCAAGGGGCGGGGTACACCCTGGATGGGTCGCAAGTCCATCACAGGGCCACATAGAGACACACGAGACAAACAACCATTCACTCTCTCACTCACACCTAGGGACAATTTAGAGTTACCAATCAGCCTAACATGCATGTTTTTGGTCTGTGGGAGGAAACCGGAGCACCCGGAGAAAACTCACGCATGCACGGAGAGAACATGCAAACTCCACCCAGAAAGGCCCCTGGACCAGGGTTTGAACCAAGGACCTTCTCACTGAGAGGCAGCAGCTCTACCAGTTGCGCCACCGTGCTGCCCATGATTATTTGTTTTACCTTATAAAATATTCCAAAATATGCTCCTCCGATTTCTTGTTGTCTGTTATGGCGGGTGAAAAAGAAAATGGCGGTTGGGGTTTTCCGGTGGAAGACTGAATCTCCGCCCTCCACCAATGAATACGCCCCCTGACCAATCAGTGACCTACAGTGCACTGATGTCACATCTAAACCTAACAAGAACCAGACCTGGGACCTCAGAGAATTAGGTTCCAAAAATGGGGTGGTGTATTATGAAATTACCAGGGGTCGTGAACGATCGGCACCCAATGATTCACACGAAAGGAAATAAATCAAAGGAGACTGTTTTCTGCTAGAAATAATAGTGTCATTTATTAATCTGCCACAGAAAAACAGCCAAGCAAAAACATGTACACTCGTACACTCAACACACAAATTGATATGAGAGCCTCTCACCGTGACACGTGGCCGGGAAGTCGTTTTCGACCCGGGTAAAGAGGAATCACATCAAAATTGCGCCGGGCACTCACGCGCGTTGGTCCACAGCAGACTTCCAAAATTCCCTTGCCTGTCACACCTCCTTTATACCTCTCCCTGACCGGATCGCGTGAGAGCAGTGAAAAACAAGTTTGATGGTTGTCAGGAGGACAGATTTAATTAAAACATGTTTTTCCATCATCGAAGCAGTCTGTGCAACAGAGCGATGGCTTCATAAAAACATGTCCTTCAAACCCTGGGTCACCATAACCTTAAGATGGGCCAGGTCTTCTGGTTAGAGCATCCCCCAGAGGACTTTAATTACTCCAAAACACATCTGCAGCACAGGCCTGACTTTGGGCAGATAAGCTGCATCAAAAGTGAGTATAAGTATTAATTGACATAAAAGCATCAAAATAATCATTCCTATATCAGGTGGGTTCCACCGCTAAAGGCATTGTGGATAAAACAAGCAATCGGCCTGAACTAGTTACATAGGAGTACCAAAAGGCCCTGTGGTTAAGGGGCTTAAAAGAAAACTACAAAATAGCTGCGCCCGTGTTTTTTTGGTTTCATTTTCATTTTTGGTTATTGGTCGGTTCCTGCTCCTGTCTGCTCCCGTTAGCTTTCAGTCCGGTCATGCCCCGGTCACGTGAGTTATAATGAGGTTGACTCCGGTCCCGCCTGAATCACGTGACTCGCGGTACTCCCGAAAAAAATGTCATCCTCTACTCTTGATGCAGGAAGAAGGCCACTTGCATCATGAAGGACCCCACTCACCCATCACATACACTTTTTGCCCCGCTCCCCTCAGGAAGGAGGTTGAAGAGCATTAAGGGTAGAACCACTTGACTGAGGAACAGCTTCTACCCTGAGGCTGTTGGATCAGCAGCAACATGATGTGATTTTTTTCACAATGATTATCCTGGTTAGAGATTCATGAGTCTATTTCATATTGCTGCTGATCTGTTTCATGTTGCTGCTGATCTATTTCATGTTGCTGCTGTTCTGTTTCAATGTTGCTGCTGATCTGTTTCATGTTGCTGTGTCCATGCGTGCGCATCTGCTCATACAGACTCATGTTTGTGCTGCTGTTTGACGTATTGTTTTTATGCTATTAGTGCTTAGTGTATATTTAGTTGCTGTTTTTCTTAGTTCTTGGAAATAAGTGCTGAATACAGCCATTTCTGTCCTCTTGGCAAAATCCACCACCTCCTGTCGTTTTCAACCAGTTTGACACGACTGTCAACAAGGAAGAGGGCCGGCAATGGAGGAGGGGGCGTACCAAAGGGACCATCTTATCACAAGCAAAACTGGTTTGTTCCACTTTGGAGTAAGCTGTTGGGGGAAGAATCAGTTTTGTTGTGTGTTTCCTTGACTGATGAAGCCTTCCGGATTGAAGGCGAAACGTTTCAGCACAAAAAAAGAAACTGTCTAGATGACCTGACTGAAAAATGTTGGACACAACACAAAACTGATTCTTCCCCCAAACAGCTTACTCCAAAAAAGTCCATGCTCAATAATCCAGGTATACTATACAATTATCAATATCCTGGCATTGAGCATGGACTTTTTTGGTTTTGAACCAGTTTGACATGACTGTTGACAAGGAAGAGGGCTGGCACAAGAGGAGCAGGCTTGCCAAAGACACCATCTTAGCACCAACATTGTTCCACTTTGGAGTAAGCTGTTTTGGGGAAGAATCAGTTTTGTTTGTTTCCTTGACTGATGAAGCCTTCTGGATGGAAGGTGAAACGTTTCAACAACAACAAAAAAAAAGAAACTGTCCAGATGACCTGACTGAAAATTGTTGGATTGTATACCTGGATTATTGAGCATGGACTTTTTTTTTTTTTTTTTACGTTTCAGTAATACGTAATCCAGTTCAGTAATAAACTTGAATAATACAGAAGAGGAGATATCTAGAGAGGCAGGTGCAAAAACAAACAAAAAAAGCAAAAACTTGAGAAAAATGTGCAAGTCTTTGCGTTTGTGAGGTGATAAGTTTGTGTTATGCAATTCCATCACAAAGATGTTTCACAAGCACCTGTAAAGCTTTATAATCCTGTGAGTGCTCATGAAGTAAAGCTTGATTTTATGCAAGGCATTGAATGAAAAGTGTCCCTGTGTGTTTCTGTTTCAGGTCCAGGCCACTGTGGTTAGTTTTTTGGCAGCTGTAGCAGCTGTGGTTCTGGGCTGGATACCAGAGGGGAAGTTTCAGATGAGCCACGCTGTTTTGCTGTGTTCAAGCAGCGTGGCCACGGCCTTCATAGCCTCCCTGCTGCAAGGTAAACAAACACTAACTTATCTAAGATAAACTGTCTTTTCTGAGTACTTCTGTTCATTTCACTGTGGTGTGGCGCAATTTACAGTTTTCTTTAGGGGTGTAATGATACGCTGAAATCACTTTTTGGTTTGGTTCCGTTTCAAGGAGGGCTCGGTTCGGTTAATTTTTGGTAGAAAAAAGGCCAAAATAAATACTTACAAAATGTTTATATTGAAAATATGCCAAGTAAACAAGTTCAGTCATTACAGACTTCTTAGCTGGAGGTGATCTGGTGGATGAAGAACACTCAGCTGCTATCATCCTCAGACTGCAAACAACACAGAGATAAAAAAAAAAAAAATTGAGTTAATAAGATTATAATTTTAAATTAAAAAAGTTAATTAGATCGCAATAATACAATAGCTCTTCTTGCACGGTCATCATATGAGGTGGTTGAATCTCTCGCTCATCTTCGATGTGGCAGGGCTTTAATTCTGGGGTCGAGCTTGTTGATGATCAGATTTAGCTTTTTAATAAAGTGCTGCTACAACTTTTTCTGGGAATGTACACTGCACTGTTGGGGAGCAGGTTTTTGTGTGCCCAACACAACAGCTGTTTTGCGATGCGTAACAGTTGGGCTGAGCGCACGTCTCCCTGTCGGTTTATGTAAACTGCCGTCACCTTGTTGTCTGTGTGGATCAGAAAATGTTGATCCTGCAGCAGGGGCAAAGTGCTGAGTCACGTTTCAGACCATGAAAACATACTAGCACATTTATGTGAAGCGACATGTTGTCCAGCCACTGTGCTCTCACTGTTTGTGACATTCACATTCCTCCCAGCTTAACAGGAACGCGTCTGTGAAAACTGAGACATATGACGTAGGCCTGCTGATGGGAACTCTCTCTGACAGAATGAGAGGGTTTCCCCAGTGAATTTGATCGAGTCTCACGGAGGGGGGCACAAAGATAATCCACCTCTTCTGGCACACAGGATTTATGCGCAGGCGGGCAAACCATCTCTGAAGGCGTCTCATGTGAAGTAGACCCAGCGGAATCACAATGTGGGCCGCTGATATCATCCCAGGAGTCGCATGACAGGCAGAACTGTCACTATGCTGCAGAGTTTGACACAACGGAGCTGAGCTGACAGAGCTTCGGCTCTCAGCTGTGATAAACGAGCTCTCATTGTAGTTGAGTTTAGCTCCACTTCCAGATAAACAATCATCTGGGACGGACGAACGGAAGTTTTTCCCAGTTTATAGAAACCCCAGGTTTAGCAGGTGTAGCACTAGCGTTTTGGTCTGTGCGACTGCTTTCTAACTGGACCGAGCTAATAAGAGCAGATCGTCCAAATAAAAATAATTCTCATTCCTGCCATGTGCAACAACTGCAGAGCCGTCTCCACGCATTTGGAGAACATGCGTGGGGTGTTTCAGAATGACAGAAATGTGAAAATATGCATTCTTCAGATCTATGGAGGTGAAAACTAGTCGTTCTGGTTAAGTTCTCCAGCAGCCGTTTGTCAGCATGCGGAATTGTCTCCCCATGATCGAATTGCTGAACATGAACAGGTCGAGAATGGGTCTCATCCCTCCGGTTTTTTATCAGAACCAGGAAGTGGTGGGAGGAAAAAAAAAACTTATTTTCCTCTCCGTTGGAAACTCTGGAAATCACGTTTTTCGTCAGAAATTCTTGAACTTCTGACTGGAGAGTCGAGCTCTGTTCTGGAGAAGACAGAACCGTCTCTATAATCCCTCTGAATGGTGGGGGTTGAGCTGCGAACTGCAGCGTGTAACCCCTTCTGATCAGACAGTCCGTCCATTTGTCCAGGGAACACACACGCTGCCACTCTGAGTAGCGCTCGGAGAGTGGGCACGCATTTGTGTTGTGTCATGTTTCTCATGAACGTCAACCAGACTAAAAATCCTTACTGCCATCACTCGCTCCAGAGATTCTCCGGGGGGAACCCAAGGAGGGCTCCGACAGAAAAAAGGACTGTATATGTGCCTCTGTGCTGAGCCCAGGCTGCGGTCTCACATAGAGCTGAAGTGTGCCGGTGCGCACTGAGAGGAGGTGTGAGTGCTTTCTGAATGAGATGCTGTTTCAGTGGAGGCTGCAGCTGTCATGGAGAAAACACGTTTACTCCCGCTGCGCTGTGAGTGGGCAGAAAACAGCAGAAATTAAAAACGGGCTCTGGCTGAAAAATGAAGGATTTTACCCGACTCGGTCTGCTGAAAAAAAAACAACGAAAAAACATTTTAGCTGACTTGGCAGACGAGTATTGTGATATTTACTGAACTGCGGTACCATTTAAAATGCTGTTTAGAGGTTACTGGCTCATTCTGTGTGGGGAATGTGTGAAGAGATGCAGCTGTGAGCTCAGCTGATCTGACAGTCTCAGATGAAAACTTTATTTTCAGAGGTGTTTCTGTTTTATATCAAAAACATACATCATCAAAAAACACATACCTCCCCCTCAAGGATTTGTTACCTGGTGGAGGGTGCCGGCGGAGGAGCAGGGCGTGAAGTCGCTGCCGCAGCTGTGGAACACCTCTGCTGCTGTTGCTGGCCAAGGTAGTCCCTCCAGCGGCCGGAGGGGCGAGAGGAGGACTGTGACGTCACCAGATGGTGTACAGTCTGAGACCTCCTCGGACCTCTGCAATTTCTCAGGGATGGTCCTGAAGTTGGCCCCAAACAGCGCCTCTGGGGTGATGGGGCCCTCCAGCAGGTCTTTCTGCAGCCTCTCGGACAAGGATGGCGAGAGGTAGAGCCAAGTGGTCCTCTGGATCATGGTCATCCAGGCGGCGATGAGGAACAGGTGGTGCCACCGTAGAGGTGGCACATGTTTAAGATGACATCAGCAGCTTTACAGAGAGAGCTCTTTGTCTCCTCCAACATGTCTGCTTCCTCCAGCCTCTTAGAAATGCTGTAGGCCAGCAGGGTGACGATGTTGTTCACTGCGGCCGTCTGGAATGAGCACTGGTGAGCTCGGTTGGAGACTTTGTCATCTGGTCATGCTTCCCTGGAGGGACAGGTTGCCGGTCCATCCTGGAAGCTTTTGCCCCAAGTGCCACCGCCAGGCTTGGCTCCGGGGGGAGGACAGAGGGAAAAACACAGATCGGTAAAACCCTCCACTCTGGAGATGGAGGTGAAGGTGGAGACGGATGTCTTCAGCTTGCTGGGCCCAGCTGCAGCCTCGTTCCAGTGTGACGTCACAGCTGTACAACAGTGGTGAAGAAAGTACTCAAACACTGTACTTAAGTAAAAGTACAAATAAACAGACAAAAATGTACTCTAGTAAAAGTAGAAGTACCACATTAACATTTTTACTTAAGTAAAAGTAAATAAGTACTTGCTTTTAAAATACTTAAAGTATTAAAAGTAAAAGTACTTGCTGAATATATTACCTAATGTAATGGTCTACATGTCTTTAAGTCTGCATACCATATGTATATTTTCTGTAATACATTAATAGTGTTGTTCCATTTTAATGAACAATGCTGCAGATAATACATGTTTGTATTGTGTTTTCTCTGTAACAGTTCACACTTGGACTTGTGATTCTATGCGTCAGAATTTCAGGGATGACCTGCAGAGTTTAATGTCATTAATCAAAATAAGAGAGGAATGATTATACCTTTGAAAGTTTTTATTTAACACAAAGCAAAACCAATGTGTCATTTTAACTGCAGTAAACACATTTAAGTAAAAGTTGTCTGCCTGAAAAAAGGAGCATTCGACACAACTAACAAAGGAACAGGCACTGATCATTTCAACTCCAGTTTGTCGTCAACTCTAGTTAAAATACTGTCTATTCAACCTTGTAATGGGTCAATAGTGAACAATATTTTAACTTTCTGACACCATTTTTAAAACTTGGACCTGAGTGTTGAGCCATTTGGAGACATCTCTTGTCTCCTAACATCATGAACTGACACATTTTAATATTGCAGCAAGAATTTCTTGTTCAAGTTCAGAAGAGGTTGGTTTTCAAAGATTTGTAAGTCCAGTCTGGCTCTTTTGGGAGAGAGAATCTGTCCTGTTGTACTGAGCAGTCTTTCAATAATCTTTCAATAAGGCCATGGGTGGAGCGTATCTTCTGTCTGACTCTCTTGCGGTGGAATACATTTTAAGTGTGTTAGCGGTGCTGCGGGTGCATCTAGCTCAGTGACATATATACTAGAATATATGCCATTGGCCCATCTCTTCTTGAATGCGGGCCTAACGTTACCTGCCCACTTTGCAGTGATTCAATGGACCAACTCCCCTCTCACCGTTGGTTACTTTCAATGTAACAAACAAATCAAAAAGCCGCAACATGAATGTAACTTGGAATGCAACGCGTTGTAGAAATGTAGTGTAGTAGAAAGTACAGATACTTGATGTAAAATGTAGTGAAGTAAAAGTATAAAGTACCCACATTTAACTCTACTTAAGTAAAGTACAAATACACGAAAAATGTACTTAAGTACAGTAACGAAGTATTTATACTTAGTTACATCCCACCACTGCTGTACAGCGAGGCCAGATGGGGTCAGGGCGACAAGCCGGGGCGGAGCCAACCTTGCCGCCAGATCATCCGATCAGGGCGGATGGAGGCGAGGGACAGAAAGTCCCTTGTGTTAACATCCTCCTGGATTATGCCGGGCAGCTTCGAGAGGAGGGCACCGACGGCTGGGAGTGGTGTGGTCACCGACGTGGGAAGATCTGAGGTGGCTGAGCATCTGCTTGGCCGCTCGTCTTCCGTCACTACGCTCTCCAGGAGGGAGGGGGCAGCTCCGCATTGCCTTTCTCGGAAGACTCATTCGATTCACTGTGTGACTCTGCGTCAATGAAGGCGGTGGCGTCGTCCCGCGCATAGCGTCCCGCCACAGAAAAAAACGCTCAGCGGAGCTGCTGCCAACAACGCCTTTTTCGAGGGAATCATCCAATTCACCTCGAGAAAAAAACACATTAGAAAAGGCGGTGGCATCGTCCAGTGAGTAGCGGCCCTCCACGGAAAAACATTCAGTGGGGCTGCTGC